TTCCCTCCCTCCCTTCTTTCCCTCCCTCCTCCCCTTCTTTCCTTCCTGACTTCCTTCCCTCCCTCCCTTCTTTCCCTTCCTTTGTTTATTCCCTCATCCCCTTCAGTCCCCATCCTTTTACCCAGCTTTGTTTTTCTCCCAGCATTTGTCTCTCCCTCACATATGGGGTCTCTCTCCCTGCTCACATTCAATGTCAGTCTCTGCTACAAGCTGCTGGCACTATGTTCACTCCTATGTCCCCAGCATGGCACAGAGTAGGTTCCAAGCAGGTTCTGGGGATATTTGGGGAATAAGTGAGTAGAAGGAAGCAACCAAGTCCCTCTTCTGTCACCCTCTGGCCAGATGAAGTAGAAAAGGCTGCAGCCGTTCACTTAGTGGCACTGGCCTCTGTGAATCTGAACAACTTCGAGCCTCCCCTCTGACTCTGAGCTCTCTGACCCCTGATGTTGTCGTTCTAGGCAGGTGGACACCAACACAAAAAATGTCTTCGGGCAGCCGCGGTTAAGGGCATCCCTCCGAGACCTCCGGTCGCCACGGAAGAACTACAAATCCACCATTGAGGACGACCTGAAAAAACTCATTATCATGGACAACCTGGGGCCAGAGCAGGAGAGAGACACAGGGGTACATAGTGCTGCCAGGACCAGCCCCTGACAGTTGCAGGCAGGGGGGATGGTGGGGGCTGGCCCTCCCTGCACTCACTCCAGCCACTGCCTGTGTCCTCAGCCTTAGTTACCTGCCAGCCCTCTCTTGGCAGATGTGGATTCAAGGCTGGGAGGAAAAACACCATATTGGGCGAGCTTAGAATTGCAGTTTCACCAGCCTAGATGGGCGCAGTGGTGCACACCTGTCCTCCCGGCTACTTAGATGCCTGAGACAGGAGAATCACTTGAGCCCAGGAGTTCAAAGGAGCACACCACTGCACTCCAGCCTGGGTGACAGAGTGAGACCCTTCCTCTAAATAAATGGACAAACCAGCCTAGGCAGGCACACGGGAATGTTTTCAGTACTAAAGTACCTCATATGACCAGAAAGACCTGGATGTCAAGTCCTCCTCCTCCATCCCTGGATAAAAGCAACCCCCATGCCCCTCCCAGACCACGTGGACCAAGAGCAGAGCAGGCAGGGCCTCCCAGGGGAAATTCAGCTCTTTTTACCCAAGAGGGGGGAGCAGGAGCAGCAGCACCAAGGACCCTGGTGCATCTGCTTCTCTTTCATTCCTGCCCTGCCTCCCCGACTGGCCTCACTGTCAGGCAGGCACCCTCCTTTGGGGACCAAGGTGGACCCTAGTGTCCCCTACCCGTAGGTCCCTCTGCCTTCCCCAACCAGGCAGGCCTGGGCTTGGGCCCCTCCTGGAGCTAGAAATGGGAAGGAAGATGGGCCACATTGGGGGGGTCGTCCCCAGGGGTAAATGAGCTGCTTGCATCTGAAGGGAAGTAGAATTAGATGCTGTATGGGTAGGGATGCACCACAGGTGTCCAGGACATCTGTGGCCATCTCTGATGCTGTCACCACAGGCCGGGCTGTGACACCCTCTCCTGTCTTGCCTTGTCCCACAGCAGTCCCCACAGAAGAGCCTGCAGCGAACACTGTCTGATGAGAGCCTGTGCAGTGGGCGCCGGGAGCCTGGATTTGCCAGCCCTGCCAGCCTGGAGCCGGGGCTGCCCAGCGACGTGCTGTTCACCAGCACCTGCGCCTTCCCCTCTAGCACGCTGCCTGCCCGTCGCCAGCACCAGCACCCCCACCCGCCTGGCCCTGGCCCTGGCCCCACCGCCACCCCCACCACTGGCAATGGCTTCCCAGAGAAGAAATGTGAGCCTTGGCACCTTGGGAGTGGGTGGGAGTTGGGAAGTGGGGTCAAAGGCTAGAGGTCATCAGTGTTGGGTCATCGAGGGTGAAGGATCTGGGTGCACATGAGCTTCAGGGGGGGTTTGATGGTGGAGACCTGGCTGTCACCCAGGGAACAAGGGATTGTTGGCCAAGCCTCAGGAGTCTTTGAGCCATGGTCTAGGACCCTAAGCCTGGTGTGTGGGACTCTCTCACTAGTGCTGGTTCCATTGCTTATGCTGTCACTTCCAAGGCACTGAGACATCAGGAGCCTGTCTCTACCTGGCGTGCCATACGTAAGTCCACCAGGTCTCACCGCAGTGACCCTACTACCTCTAAATGCCATCCAGACACTGGTAACCCACGTTTCTGTCTACACTCTGGTACTCACTCGGCCCCTGGCTCCTGTGGCCAGCCCCTCTCACTGTCTGCTGTGGGTACCCAGTGGCATCTCCACTGACCACCCCCAGAAACAAACTTCTGACGCCCTGCCCCAGCCTTCCCCATCTCAGAGCCAGCTCCATCAGGCTGGCGCAGGCCAGCACCTTGACGCCATCCTGGACCCTTCTCTTGGTCTTATATTCTGTTCCTCTCTCCTGCAAAGTAGACTCCGAATGCGTGCCCTTGTCCCACCCTGGTCCCACCCTGGCCACACCCTAGTCCTGTCCATCCTCATCTTTTCCCTCTTGCATCACAGCTGCAGCCTCTTTACTGTCTTCCAGCCCCACACTGCCACACACACAGAGATACAGTATGTCCCCACATGCAGTCAGAGACAGCCTGTGAACACTTCAGTTAGGGGCCTTCTTGAGGTACCATCGCACTCAGGGTGAAAGGACAGAGTCATCAGGGCCCACAAGACCCCACATGCTCTATGTCACCTCTCTCACTGTGTCCCTGGCTCACTCTGTCCCAGCCTCAGTGTTCCTTAGACCTCATAGGTGCATTCCTGCCTCAGGATTTAGTACTTGCTGTTCCATCTGCCCAAATGCTCTTCCCCCCTAGCCCACTCTCTGCTCTCCTTCAAAGTTCTACCCAAATGTCATCTCAGCCAGGTGTCCCCTAGCACCTTGTTTAAAGTCACTACATTACCATCTAGCATTCCCACCCCTTACCCTGCTGCAGATTTCCCTGGCACTTAGCATCTTCCAAAAAGCATAATAATGTATCTGTTCACTTCTCTCTCCGGGTTGCCATGCTCATCTGTTCCATCTCCACTTTCCCCCCAACCAAGCCACCATCTCGGCCTCAGAGCTGTCACTGGCTGATGGGCGGGACCGACCTCTGCGGCGCCTTGACCCTGGGATGATGCCATTGCCCGACACAGCTGCTGGCCTTGAGTGGTCCAGCCTGGTCAACGCAGCCAAGGCATATGAGGGTAGGTGCCTCCTACCAGACCCTACCCTATTCTCTGTTCTCGAAGGATAAATGGAGGGCCTTGTGGCTTTTCAGGGGAACCCACTCAGGTTTTAGAATCAGGAAGTGGAGCTCAAGTCCTGCCCTGTCACTTGCTCACGATGTAGCCTGGGATCGTCTCTGACTCCCCAGTTATTTTGTCTACCAGGCAAGGACAGCAGCTGTGCCAACTGCTTGGGGCAATAGTGAGGATCATGTGACATACTGTACGTAGAACAACATCAGGCACAGAGCAAGCCCTCCGCAGACTGCCTTCCGTCATTACTACAGTGCCAACCGCAGTAATCCAAATTGGACTTGGGTTTGGTACGGCCTCATGTGACAGAAAACCCAGCTAACAATGACTTTAACACACAAGGCAAAAATTCCTGGGCTGGGCATCCTCAGGCTGGTGTTGCACTGCCACAGATTTCTGTAGGGCCCAGGCTCGGCCATTTCTAGGGTGCCTCACCCTCACCATCCAAGGTGGCCTTTAGCACTCTGTCCAGCTCCAGGCACCGGGAGAGGGGGGGCACATCCCTTCCCTGTCTCGCTTTCCTCCTGTGCTTACTTACCATTGTCCAAAGCCTTTGCCCATGGCCACACCTAGCTGCAAGGTAGGCTGGGAATGAGGTCGTGTGCCCAGCTACAACTTGGGATTTGTTACTCAGAAAAAAGGGAAACAGATTACAAGGGACTGCTAACAGTCCCTGCCATTTCCTTCCCTTATGACTTTAAGCAAGTACTTTTCCTTTCTAGGCCTCAATTTCCTCATCTGTCAGATGAGATTTATGATGATGCCTGACGGATAGGAATGTGTCTTTTGGCACAGTTTTCCTCATCTTACAGGCCACAGCTTGGCTAGCCTTCCTTCAGGCACCTCCCCTGGGCTCCCACAGCCTGACCCTTCTGGGCTGTCACTGTCTAATGATGAATCTTTCTCCCCACTGGCCTGGGAGGGCAGGACCCAGAGCTGTTTCTATTACCCCTGGTGCCCAGCACAGATTTCTGCACAGAGCAGGGTCCATTAAACCAGACCTATGTGGTGTACATCCTTCGTATTTCAACATCTGGGCCAGTCCCCATCTGGCAGTTGGCCCTAGAGCAGTGGTTCTCAGCCTTCCTAATGCTACAGTGTATTTTCATTGTTAAAAAGGGGTCTCAACCCACAGGCTGAAAACCACTACCCTAGAGGAAGCTTCCCCCAACCGCCTACTCTCACTTGTAAAAACTCTTTGATTCTGCCGGTCACAGTGGCTCACACTCATAATCCTAGCACTCTGGGAGGCTGAGGGGGGTGGATTGCTTGAGCTCAGGAATTTGAGACCAGCCTGAGCAAGAGGAAGACCTCGTCTCTACTAAAAGAGCAAAACTAGGTGGGCACCTATGGTCCCAGCTACTCGGGAGGCTGAGGCAAGAGAATTGCTTGAGCCTAAGAGTTTGAGGTTGCTATGAGCTATAATGCCAGGGCACTCAACTTCAGGGTGACAGAGTGAGAGACTCTGTGTTAGGAAGAAAAAAAAGAAAACTCTTTCATTCTGAAGTCATTTTCTATCTATAGAAGGGTTGCAAAGATAATTCCAAGAATTCTTGTAGCCCCTTTGCCCTGTTTTCCCTAATGGTAACATCTCACACATTCATGGCACAGCGATCAAAACTAAGGAGTAAGCACAGGTACAAACTATTAACTAAGCTGCAGATTTCACCCAGCTCTTGTTCATGTTCCTTTTCTGTCACAGAATTTAATCTGGGATCCCACAATGCCTGTGGTAGGTGATAGATAGGTTCACGCATCACAACAGTGGTGGTCATGTGGAGAATAAGTGTGTCAGAACCCTGCAGACTGTGTTTTTTTTTTTGTTTTTTTTTTTTTTTTTGAGACAGAGTCTCACTTTGTCACCCTTGGTAGAGTGCTGTGGCATCACAGGTCACAGCAACCTCCAGCTCTTGGGCTTAGGTGATACTCTTGCCTCAGCCTCCCAAGTAGCTGGGACTACAGGCGCCTGCCACAATGCCTGGCTTTTTTGTTGCAGTTTGGCTGGGGCCAGGTTTTATGTTTTGGGGGGCTTTTTTTGAGACAGAGCCTCAAGCTATCCCCCTGGGTAGAGTGCTGTGGCATCACAGTTCACAGGAACCTCCATCTCCTGAGCTCAAGCAATTCTCCTGCCTCCACATCCCAAGTCGCTGGAACTACAGTCGCCTGCCACAACGCCCAGCTATTTTTTGGTTGCAGCCGTTATTGTTATTTGGCAGGCCCGGGCTGGATTTGAACCCGCCAGCTCAGATGTATGTGGTTGGTGCCTTAGCCGCTGGAGGCCACAGGTGGTGAGCCACCTGGCTGTTCTTGAACTCTGTTTTTTTTTTTTTTTTTTGAGACAGAGTCTTACTTTGTCACCCTCAGTAGACTGCCATGGCATCAAAATTCACAGCAACCTCCCACTCCTGGGCTTAGGCGATTCTCTTGTCTCAGCCTTTTGAGTAGCTGGGACTACAGGCGCCCGCCACAATGCCCAGTTATTTTTTTGTTGCAGTTTGGCTGGGGCCAGGTTTGAACCTACCACCCTTGGTATATGGGGCTGGAGTCCTACCCCCTGAGCCATGGTGCCGCCCTGACTTCAAGTGATCCTCCTGCCTCAGTCTCCCAAAGTGCTGGAATTATAGGTGTGAGCTGCTGCACAGGGCTTCCTTAACTTTAATTCCATAAGAAACCAGCTTCTTAAGGCCTACCTGACATTTAATAAACCACATATTTAAAGCACACAGTCTGGGCGGTGCCTGTGGCTCAGTGACTAGGGCGCTAGGTCCATATACCAAAGGTGATGGGTTCAAACCTGGCCCCAGGCTCGGCACCTGTGGCTCAAGTGGCTAAGGCGCCAGCCACATACACCTAAGGTGGTGGGTTCTAATTCAGCCTGGGCCCACCAAACAACAATGATGGCTGCAACCAAAAAAAAAATAGCCAGGCATTGTGGCGGGCACCTGTGGTTCCAGCTACTTGGGAGGCAGAGGCAGGAGACTCACTTAAGCCCAGGAGTTGGAGGTTGCTGTGAGCTGTGATG